TTCAAATGGTATGTCTTTAGGGTATCTGATTGTGTGGAGATTTGATTGCATTGAGGTTCAATTTACCATTTATAGGAAATGGGTGTTAGACAAGTGACTTTAAAACAAGATAGGATGAATTGTGTGGATTTGAAAAACAATGTCCAACTAAAAATCTTTGATAAAAATCAAAGTTTAAAACAAGTTAAACAAACGAGCGAGAAAAGCCACAAAATAAAGAAAATCAGACAAAAAGAAATATAGCAAAAGTAAATAACCGAAAGGTAAAGAGATAAAGGAAGAGAAAGATGCACCAGAAATTTATAGAAGTTCGGTCTAATGATATTGCCTACTCCTCTCCCCAAGAATTTCTTCTTGGGAATTTCCATTATGATGCGAGTTTTTCATAGGTTTTACCCATGAACCTCCTTACAAAAGGACTGAAGGTTTAAAATGGCTTTCCTCCCAACCAAACACGAGAGTCTTATCTATGAAGATCTCCCAACCAAGACATTTTATCACCAGGACAATCTCAAACCAAACGAGAGCTTCTAACACCAAGATAAGTTTACAAACCAAATAGAAGTTTTCATTAAGAGACTTATGAACCAAACAAAGGTTTTATCAATTCCATCTCGACAACCAAATAAGATCTTTTTTATTGATTTAACTCACAACAACAAAAACACACACGCGCGCGCGCATACACACACACACACGCACGCACGCACACACCTTATAGATAAAAACATTTTTCAGTTGTTTTAATAAAATTAGATAGGATTTTTATCATTCGAATGTGTGTGTGTGCGCGCGCGTGCGTGTGTATGGCGATAGGTGTACCGATAATGTCGTGGCAACAACATCAAAAACTTGATGATTTCTCGAAAAGTGTACCAATAATGTCGCGGTAATAAAAAGATATTGATTCTATAATGACTGTTATTTAACAAGACAATAGTTATGCAATTATAAAAAGTAACGATTTGAGAGATTTTTGAGTTTGAATGAATTAATAAAAAAGCAGTCAGGTTTTGTATAGAATCCCTTATTTCTCTCCTATTGATGTCTAATGCATTAAATGAATGAGAAATTTATTATATTTTTACGACGAATTAACAGAACCACTCTACCCAATCCCTTGGTGTAAAGCTCATTAAGTATCACTCGGGGTCTTTTATCCCTATTCAACTAGCGTAAGTGAAATTAGGTGATGCACAGAATATTAAATCAACTCTCAGTACTCGAAGTCTCCTATCCCTAATCAACCAGCGTAAGTACAATAATTTCCCTAGTTCAAACACATAGACTAATGGTTAGTATTCTCTATGTGCACAAGATCAGATTAAAAGAGTATCTCACACTTAGTCATTTTTTCATACTTAGTCATTTTTGCATCTTTCTATGGCCTTTATTCTTCATTTGTTGTCCTCTTAAACTTGTTTTGATCCATTTCTTTGACCGAAAATATGCAATAAAAGAATTTCATCAGTCGTCCACTCCACTTATATAAGTGGTATATGGCATCCCAATTTCAAATAAACTTGAACAAAATGTTGTGACTTTGAAAGCCACTTAATACAAATAAATTGATGATCTTATTTGCCAACATATAACCACACAACTTAAAGGGTCACTCACATTTTCTTGAACCGGTGTCATCTCATTTAAAATTCTGGAGAGAAAATCTATATTTCTTACCTCTTTCGCATGTCATTGTACAAATGCACCTCTTCTATCCGACCCATTATCGAAAATTTCGATTACCACACTAAATCCCAGTTTTGAGGCCTCTGTGTGAATCCATTGAAGCATGTGATCACAAAATTTAAACTCTTGCTCATTTTTAAATTGGTTGTCAACATCTACCTCTTTCACAACAACATCTTTGACATCCGGAGACACAACATGTTTGGGGAAAACATCAGGGTGCAGCATATCTAATGAAAATATTTACAATAAAACACTCAATAAATGTTAATATTGTAAACATAGCTAAAAAAATATAACCGACAGCCTACATAGATGCATCTCCGGACGAGTTCATATAGAACCTGGAGATGTATCTTTGAAAAAAATGAACGTTTTTCAGACTATAACCAAGTTTAATGTGAGCAATGAGATTTGATATAAATGATCTTTACTTGGAATTCCACCTTTTTTTGCTTCCTTTGATGTGATGAAACATAAGAACTAAGATTTGGAGAGAAAATATTGATTGAGAATGGAAGGGTTTTTAGTGGAAAATAAGTATGAGTCTGTGATCATTCAGCTGAGTGTTTTATCAATTTATTTTAGAAATGTATCTCCGAAAGTATCTAACATGCAAGGGCAACACAAATTTTAAAATTTCGCCTCAAACCTCTGTAGATGCATCTCCATAATATTCATTGGGTTGTTCAAATATCAATATATTTGTTGAAAATATCCACATATACATCTCTAGAATAATTTTTTGTTTAAATCTAAGGTGATACTCGTTTAGTGCGTCATAAAATGGTGTATGATGCATCTGAAGATGTGTCTCTAAAATTTGAGAGATATTTTCGATTTTTCATAGGATGTTTTTCTATCCCATAAAGTGGGATAAGAAATTCTCTGAATTTATCACAAAGACAAAATGTCTCAAACAAGTTTGATAAATCTAAAAATAAATGGCTATTGAATATGGATTATGATTCTATGTTTTTTCACGAGTGCATGAAATTCAATAATAGAAAAAACCAAATTATTTCTTTAAAAACTGGTGACAGATGGATTCAAATGGTGCATGAGATCAAAAATGAAGTCCAGCACCACTTCAAAGCACTGAAAGATGCCTAATTTAAAAAATTACTTGAAGCGGATAATGAGGATAATAAGGATCTTGTGAGTTCCTTTTCTCTTAATGAAATTAAGGAAATAACTTGAAATTGCGACAAAAATATAATCTGAGAGCGAATGCTCGTACAAAATCTTAGCAAAACTTTGGTTGTTAGGTTAAAACACAGTTCATAAGAAAGTTTTATCTCCTTGCCAAAGATCTTTCTTACCTAATAGGAAAATGATGAGTGATGTCATTATTCTCAATGAGGTGGTTGGTCTTGAAAAAAATAGAAAAGATATTTGTCTAATTCTTAGTTGATTTCGAGAAGGTGTATGATATAATTTTCAAAGTTGATTTCGAAAAAGTGTACGATATAATTTGCTGGGAATACATATCTTTGATAATGATAGTGTTTGGATTTTATGATTTATGGATCAAATGGATCAAATGTTGCATTTGTAACTCTACCATTTGTGTTGATTAATGGAAGCCTTGTGGTTCATATGAGATTGGAAAAAAGGCGGCTCACTTGTTCTCTGTTTTTTTTTGGGAAAACTTTTTCCACTCTTATGTGTTCTCTTCCACTACTATAAAAAATTATTATTATCTCTGGTGTCTAAAGATGCATCTCCGAACGCATTATTTATTTACATATTTTAACACTTTGAAAATAAAAAACCTTTATTTTACTAAAAAAAAACTATCCAAAAATACATCTTTAAAATTCAGAGATGTACATCTGAAATCTCTATTATACCGTGTTCTGTGTCATATAGTGTTGAGGAGCTTCTAAGGTGTTATCCTTCTAAGGTGTTATTGGGATGGTAAATTAGGTGAGAACTAATTACAAAAATAATGGTATCATTGTGACTAACAGAAGTAGCTTATTAATAACATTTAAAACTTATCTTTATATATGGTAGTGGAAAGTATTGCATCATTTGTAAGATCAGCATATGGATTATCATTTACCAACTAGTATAGCTTTGTTGTACTTTTGAACCGTTTTCACATCACCCGTATTAAGAAAAAAAGAAAGTAATCTCATATGTAAATGCTAGTTGCTAAATTTATGTGTATTTTTAGAATTCAGGGATACAATGTTTTTATTTGTGTGATTTTGGAGACGTTTGAAAATACATATCTAAACACATAAATAACATTTTTAAATTATCAAAGAAAAGAGTATTTCCCTTTTTTCTACTAGTTTAATTATTCAGCTTACTATTAATTAAGCTTAATCAAAGTTAATTAAGCATTAGATACAATTTTAAAGATGCTAGAAAATTTCGTGCCCTACAGTTTGCCCGACATCCCATTTGTATGTATAGATTAAGATTTTCTTTTAGAGTTTGAAGGCAAGGAAAAGGGAGGGTTCAAAAAATAATTTTTTCAAAAATATAAAAAAAAAGGTTTAAAATATAAAATAATACTTATAATTAATATATTTTTAATTTTTGAAATACTATAACAAACTAAAATTATATTTAAACAACTTTTTTAAACCGTCCAAAATTCTGCTCCAATATAAATTGTGAATAAAAACAAACTCTCCAAAATCCTTCCTAACTAAAATCTTTCTATTATTTTCACTCAGTTTTTCCTATTTGTCAAAGCCTTCCACTCTCTTCCTCTCCAAACTAGCAAAGCTTAAAGAAAGGGAACTGATTAACGTGATACACATATTTTAGAGCTTTTTTTTAATGCATTTTCCATCATCTTCATTGTTTAAATGATTGTACAGCAACCCCTATATCAAAAGTTCTAAGAAATTGAGGTAACTATGTGAAAACAAATGAGGAATAGAATTGAAAATAATTATAAAAAAAAAGCATAAATAAGAAATCTCAAATGTTCACTACCACAAACAAAATAAGGCTATGGCGTTCAACCCAAAATCTCAAATCAATTATATATCACACATCTAGAGTGTATCCATTGTAAAACAATTACTTCCAAAACCTAAACCAAATGACTCTAATTACTTACTATGAGTCATTATATCTCTACTTATATCATGGTTAATTATAATTATATTAATTTGAATAAGACTTGGTTGATGTTGTATGTTAGTTGGAAGATTAATGAGTTACATCATCATTAATTGCTGTCGAATTTCAGTGACAAATTTGTGTCAAAACAACAGAACTCAAAATTATATATATGTTAGTTCGAGTTTTATAAACATGACCAAAGCTCAGGTAGACCTTTAGTGCTATGAAACTTGAGCACTTAGTTTAGTTGTTCTCCAAAAGATGCTACCACTATATACACAAAGCCACTAGAGAGGTTAGGTACCAAACTGAGGTTGCAACAGATGCAAACATTTGCTACTATGAAACTTTAGCACTTAGTTCAGTTGTTCTCCAAAAGGTGCTACTACTATGTACACAAAGTCACTTGAGAGGTTACTGGCTTACCGTAAATACGCGCCAAAGGAAGGTTGCAACATATTGGACATCATACATTGTTGTTGTTGCCATGGAGATGATACTCCACATGCCTCCACCTTCTGATTGTTGTTATTTGCATGTGGATCATCCATGTCCATCATTTCACTAACTTCTGCCTCGAATGTTTGACATGTCTCTGGTACTATTTCTTGGCGTGCCAGAGGATTAGGAACCCATGGGATAACAGCCAAACAGTCTTTTGATGTCTTCTCCCTCCTCGTTTCATCTTCGCCAAGTTCCTCTAGCTTTAGAGTTCCCCGTGACAACAAATAATCTGCAAAAGATGGTATAAGATATTCAGCCAGATCAATAACTTTGCCAAAAAGATTGTAATACTATGGCCCAAAAAAACATGTGGTTCTAACTTCAAATGTAAAATAAGAAAACAGTTACTTTAACCAACACTAGCTATCTCGCAAAACTAAAAAATGAAAATGCAATAACTTCTGGCCTTGCTGAGCAATTTGGTTAGACATACGAACAAGATTGTTTTTGTGGCAAATCCAGAAATACCGATAAACAAAACAACTTAAAATGGCAACAGGACAACATACTATTGTTGCACTCCTGATTCCTGATGGGAAGCATGAAAAATGTTACAAGGAAGAACAGAAGTCCTCATGGGGATGCCATGATGGGAACTGGTTTAGATTAAAATGTACAAATATATTTGTATTGAATGTACAAAAAGAATATGCAGAAAATATGTATTCCCTATATATCAGAGAGATCCAAGACTCTCCCTGGACCCAATTCTACTTCTGGATGAAATGACTACCATTCTTCTCAAGCCACTCTTTTTATTTGTACACAACACACCTTAAAAAACTACCGGGCTTATCATACCACTCTTGTAGACCTCAAAAAGAGGAATGTTAAAAAGAAACTTACGATCTTAAGGTTACATTGGATGACTAGTGAGACTGGAAATAGCCAATACTGTGGTTGCTGTTGTGTGAGCAACAAGCTCATCCCTAAAAACTGACAAGTACAAACATATAATCTGTAAGTCATTATCGACACCCATGAATCCCATACAACAGACGAATCTTTAAGTCAATAAGAAATTTATCGACAGCTCCAAAAGGAACTAAATTTGAATTTTAAGTGGAAAGTGTAGCATGTTTATAGTATAACTATATTAGAAAAATACTAATAACACATCCCTTGATAGTTGATACACTCTTCTCAACACTCAGAACTCACTCTAATAGAAAAGATCAAGTTGTTAAGTGAGGACTACATAGAAATTCACCCAATATTATAAACATTGTCAAAAGAAAGCAACAAAGATGGTATCACAATACAAACATTCCTCTACATACTGTATAATTAGTGAAGGCCTTCTCAGATTGAGATAAATAAGTTTCAGGCTATGGTTTTTCTTCCTTCAAACCATTTAAAATCGACTCTGGGATAATTACATGTCGATATCAGTAATAATTTGAAGAACGTAACCACGTTGGTGTCTGACACGTGTGGAACTCCGGTCAGACATGCAATAAACACAAAAGCAATCAACCATCCACAATATACACAATATGATTAGTAGAATACTATAGGAAGCCACAGAGAAACATGCAAACAAAGAAAACGGTATAAAAGATGTAAAAATGTAATGAATGTTACTCGTTTACCCTTTAAACCAGGAATCAAGTGAGTAGCAACAACAATGGTTAAAGGAGGGGATGTAGGGGACTTGAGAAGAGGAGTATTTGAATTGGAGGGATGATCATGATATAGCACCAGTGATTTCTCTTCGTCGAATTGCTTTAACGGTGGCGCAACATTTGCAGGAGTATCTTCCTCCATCTCCATAGTCGTCATCTCGTAATAATCCTTAAATTAGTATAAAAAGAAATGAGATGAAACTGGAAATAATAATCATAAAAACAAAAATGGGGAAGAAAGTAGAAACCAGTTTGCTTGATTTTGTTGGAGGGGAAAGATGAAGGTAATCGAAACAATCGTCGTCGCGCTTCGTCTTCATTGTTGTGTCGTTGGGGTTTGGGTTATGGGTTTTTCTCCATTTCACTGAGGCTATAGTAGTGGACAATGAAATGTGTAATAATATTTGTTGAGAATCGAAGAATAATCATTATTACAATTAGTTGTAATTTGAAACTATTATTTACACTATGAAATGCTATCACAAGATTCGATCAAATTAAATATGTGAAATTGTGTTATCATGGTTTTGTTTAGCGACATTCTATTCTATTGGATCGTTTTTGAAATTGATTCTTTCATTCATGTTCGATGTAGTTTCGTAATTATTTTTTGAAATTTTGATTGTAGTTATTGTAGTTGTTTGCTATTTTCATTAATGTCTTTTGATTTCGTCTTTGATTCGTGATTGAGTGTTTATAGTCGTGATTTTGTCTTTGATTCGTGATTCGCTGTTGCTTGGTGATTGTGATATGATGTTTGTGATCGAATTTTGTTTGAAATGAAATTTGTGTATGCTTGAAATTCACATTCAAGCTCGATGCTTTTGTTTATGTTTGTGATACTATGCCTTCACCAAGCAACAAGGATATATTAACTCTGAGTGTCATACGTGTCTTTCTCGACCAACAAAACGTTTTGTGTAGTCATTCCATGCAGCTATTAATTTTGCAGTTGGTCCTTCCAATAGTGGCACATCAAATGATGGTGTTGTACAACTTGACGGGTAAGTCTTATAATGTTTATCGTCTATGGTTTCTTGATTCGGGTGCATTAAATCACATGACGGGTTCCTCAGAATATTTGCACAATTTACAATCTTATTGTTGTGAATAGGATGCTTTGAAACAAAATATAAACGGTTTCTTTATGGACAAGAAACACACGAGGGTTAGGGTTAACAAAGAAAACAAGAAAAAACACCAAGAAGAAACAACAATGATTGGTTATAAATTGTTATTCTTTTCTTTATCTATCAAACAAGATTATAAGTATACATGAATAACAAATAACCTCTCTCTCTCTCTCTTGAATTAGGATTTTATCTTCTTATTTTTCCTTATACAAGATGAGAGACTAGCATGTTATTTATAAGAAAAATAACACACTAACATAATGGGCTTTTTAACAATTACACATTACAAGCTAACTTAGGGTACAAGCTAACTTAAACAATTGGGCTTACAAGCAAGGCCCAATTCAACATGCTAACAAACCTAGCAATATTGACTAATTCATGTTAGAACAAACTTCGACTACAACACACATTACTCGCGAACAGACTTCAACCATACTAGAGTTCGATCCAGTATCTCACAAATCTCCACCTTGGATTTAACTCTATAACATCAAGAAACTAACTTTCTTCATGCAACTTTATCAACTGCATACAGTGGAAAAACTTGCAACTGGGCAACGTCTTGGTGATCATATCAGCAGCATTATGATCTGTCGAAACCTTCAGCACTTTGACTTATCCACGCTCGATTACCCCTCTGACGAAATGCAGCCTCACATCAATGTGCTTGGCTCGCTCATGATAGGCTGAATTCTTCGACAGGTGTATTGCATTTTGACTATCACATTTAATAGTGATAACTCGACCTTGAAGTTTCAGCTCCTTTGCAAAACTTTCAAGCCACAATGCTTCCTTCACAGCTTCAGTTAGAGCGATATATTCCGCTTCAGTGGTAGATAAGGCGACAAACTTCTGAAGTGTTGCTTTCCAACTGATTGTTGTCCCAAACATAGTGAACACATATCCAGAAATATATTTTCTAGAATCCATACAACCTACATAATCCGAGTCGACATATCCTTCCATTGCTGCTTTACTATCTTCACCCAAGGCTCCACCATAAATTAAGACTCTATTCAGAGACCCATTTATGTACCTTAGAATCCACTTCAATGCTTGTCAGTGAGCCTTTCCAATATTCGTCATGTACTTTCTTACAAGACTTACTGCATATGCTATGTCAGGTCTAGTACAAGCCATAACATACATCAAAGAACCCACTATATTAGCATATGGAATGTTATTCGTATAAGTTCTTTCGACATCATTGTTGGTACACTGATATATACTTAGCTTGAATTGAGGGTTTGTCGGAGTCACAACAGGCTTTGAATTTGACATACCAAACTTTTCGAGAATCTTTTGTATGTATGCCTCTTGAGATAAGCATAATTTCGACTACTTTCTATCTCTTCGAATGTCAATCCCAAGAATCCTGGACACAACTCCCAGATCCTTCATGTCGAACTCCTTATTGAGTTCAATCTTTACCCTTATTACATATTCGACATTGTTGCTTGCTATTAGAATATCATCCACATAAAGCAACAAAATAACAAATGAATTACCATGTCAAAATCTGAAGTAAACACGGTGGTCGAACTGACTTCTAATGAAACTTATGCATTCTATGAACTTGTTGAATCTCCTATTTCACTATCGAGGAGATTGTTTCAGTCCATATAAAGATCTATTCAGTTTGCACACATAATCTTCTTTCCCTTTTTCGACATACCCTTCAAGTTGCCTCATAACGATTATTTCATCTAGATCACCATACAAGAACGCAGTCTTCATATTCATATGTTCCAGTTCAAGGTTGAATTGTGCCATTGTGGCAAGCAACATTCAAATGGATTTGTGCTTCACAATAGGAGAGAACACATCATTGAAGTCGACACCTTCTTTCTGAGTGAACCCCCTAGTGACCAATCTTGCATTGTATCTCTTCGACGCCACTCCTTCGATCCCTTCCTTAACTTTGAAAATCCATTTACAATTGACTAACTCGACTCCAACAGGTTTCTTGATCAGTTCCCAGGTGTTGTTATCATGAAGAGATTTCATCTCATCATCCATGGCCTTCAGTCATTCAGTCTTCTTTCGACTCCTTGTAACTTCTTTATAGTCTCTAGGTTCTTCGTCTAGAACCCCACTTGCAGATATTAAGGCATAGGCTATAAGGTCTGTATACCCAAGTCTCTGAGGTGGCTTTATGACTCTCCTCGACCTGTCTCTTGCTAGCAGGTAGTCATTATCAGCCTCCTCGTCTTCAACAACATCTATTACGTCTTCTTTGACTTCATCTGAGATACGCAATTCAGCATCAACATGCTCTACCTCAACAGGAATTTCTCCATGTTCCAGCTCTTCGCCAGCATCATCAGTTTTCTTGAAAATCATCTCTGCTTCATTGAAAACTACATCTCGACTGGTGATACACCTCCCGTGACCTAGTGTCGTACCTCGAAAAATACGATCCTCGCGATGGACGCGGAAAAAACGTTTGAACAGAGTCGCCACCAAACTTTATTCATTCCAAGGAAGGAATAGAAAAATATCGATAAAACTTTTAAAGAGATAAGAACATGGTCATCACAATCAAATTCTAGGTTCGGGAGTCAGTTACGCAAGAGGGAAGGTATTAGCACCCTCTACGTCCATTGTACTCAATGGGAACCTCTTGATTCGATTCGAGAGAAAAGATAGCTACACTTGTTTGTTATCTTCTAAAGATTCACTTCTAAGGGGAAAATGGTGGTTTTAAGATAGAGTGCTCGCCAAGGATTGGGGTCCTTGTGCCAACGTACTCTCTCGTACAATGGGAAAGTCAGAGCATCGTAGTTCGTGGGACTATGGGAAAAGGTTTGAGGAAAACGGAAGATGGAGAGAAGGTAGCTCGCTAGGATCTCGCAATCCTATGCCTACGTATTCTCATTGACAAATGAGAAATCAGAGTGTCTGTAGTTCGGAAGACTACGGTTGATTGGTTTGTGTTTGAAGCGAACGAGTGTTTAGGTCGCATTTTAACTGCTAAACATTGGCTTGTCTGCTCGCTAGGGGAAGCTTAAGCACTAGTTCATATGTGTAGAAGAAGGGACTAAACAATGTTCTTTGCAAAAGGTTGTTTGAGTTGTGGATCGCACGGGGGTGAGAAATTAGTGTTTTGAGAAGTTTCAATCGCACGGGGGCAAGAAGAGAGAGTTTGATGTGGGGGGATGTTTTGTTAGAGGTGACGATTACCTGAAGCTTAAGAAAGACTCATTGGCCCAAGTAATCAGGAGAGTGAATTGAAGACTCGACTCTCTCTCTTTTTCAACCTTAATTGCGAAAGGATTTTAATATGGTTAGAGTAAGTTAATCGGATGACGATTACTCGAAGATTAAGCAAGGCTCATCGGGCTCAAGTGAGTCAAATTTTACCCTCAGATTCTTTGATCTTTCACATGTGATTCTAGGTCAACCATCTCGCATAATCTCAATTTATCAGCTGGAATAAACTTGTTGGAATTACAGTGGGTTGGTCAAACCAGAAGTCAACTGTGCGAAAAATCAGTGGACGGAATTTTTTTTAAATCGAGCCTGCAAACGTCAGTCATATTAATTTATGTTTCGTGTAGTTTAATCTGGCGTGCTCATTAAAATTTTCGACTATTTTTCGGTAGCATTTTTGGACAATTTAAGCCATTTTAATGGGTAACATTTATTTCAAAATTTGACCAAACGCTATATCTTTTGTTGATCATTTTAGTGTATTCATTTTATTTTTCTGAGCACTTTGATACCGGTCCATTTTTTTCGTTTTAAACCGATTTTATTTTATTTTTTAATTAATAATTAGTTTTTTTAATTTAATTTTTATTTATTAGTTTATCTAATTTCAAATTTATTTTATTTTATTTTTATCTTTATTAGTATTTAATTTTTGTTTTTTCTTTATTCTATTTTTATTTTTGGCAAGACTTAATGTTTAAGTTTGATAAAGCTTTTTTGTTTTTTAGACATTTTGATGAAAATAATAGACTGTCTGTCTGCACCTACACGATCCATCAGCGCCTCGCCCTTCACAGTCTGCTTCAAAAAGAACATACACCTGTTTTGTTGCCAGTGAATGATCAACTTATAGCCTATAAAATAACTCAGTTTCATCCATATTGAAAACATCTTTCATAGGGAACTGATCAATTTTCTCCCGAATCGATACCAATTTATGCTTCATGTCTTGTACATCAACAGACCCACTCTCGCCAAAACAACGAAATGACTTTATGCCATGTCGGTTCTTGAATTTCCCAAGCCATCCTATAGAGAAGTTAAAATTTGAATCATCATGAGGGTACATGAGTTTCATTGTATCTCTTGCCTTCTGCAAAATTAATTCTCCTGTGATATTCACACGTTCTTGATGCTGGAGAAACCACTCATAAACAACCTTCTCCGTGTCAGGATATTTTGCCGGTTTGTGTCTTTTGATCTCTGCTCTTCCCTTTTCTATTTCAGCGGAGAGATAATCATCTAACCGTTTAAGTATGTTTGATATTGTTCATTGACTAACTTTCAACTGAAATTTTCCCTCAAGCTATCTCTGCAAGTCTTTTTGTGTGCTTGCAGGATTATCTCTCTTGTACTCACACAACTCCTTACGTATTTGATCTGACACAGTTGATTTTGCAACACCTTTTAGATGAGAAGCCATTTTGTGAGATATGGTTTGAATACTCTAACACATTCATGTAATTTATATATGACAAACTTGCTTAAGAATACACTGAACATTTGTTCCTCTTGTTTACATTTACTGTACTTCAAAAGTCATTATTGATTTCCAATGCATATGAACACAGTAGTTACTAAGGTTCGTTGCAACGTAATTCTAAGAGGCATAGACTAATTTGCCTTTTTGTTTGGTATGTACAGTATAATTACTTAAAAACTCTTTAAATTAATAATTATAAATTTATCGATAAATTAATAACTCTCTAAATTAATAAATTTCTCCGCTCCTGACATTGTTAATTTAAAGAGTTTCTACTGTATATAAAATTGCTACTTTCAACAAAGTAAATATGGTTGCACTTGCATATGAATGAACATAACAGAAGTTGACAAAATTTGAAATCAACTGTCTTTGCCTCTATAAGCAACTCATCTTAACACAAACTCAACAACATCAACTGAATCGACACCACTAAGTAAGACAACACCAATTGAGTTTACACTACCAAGTCAGACAATACCAACACAATCTACATCACCACTTTCTTCAATTAAGCTAATTCCAAAGAAGAAGAAAAAAGAAGACTTCAAAAATAGTCAAAACCTGAAGCTAGCCATAATTGTGTATTTTTTGTGTACATCTTTTGTAATAGTGTTTGTGTACACCTATTGTAGTTGTGTGTGTTGTATGACATTTTAAAATATGTTTAATGTTATTTTTGTTTAATATCTCTGGTTTGAATAAAAATTATAATAAAATTATGAGTTAATCTTATTAAATTCAAGATTTGGTTGATATGAAATTTTGGTATCGTAAATAACAGCTCATGAACTATAAAATTTTATGAAATTCTAGTATAACCACTTTAATCACAGTTTGATTATCGTCCTAGTCTGTTCTTTTAATTAATTATAAAGTTTTAATTTAGTCTCTTAAAAAAACTACTGACTTACTATTTTGACTTTTATACTGCTGTTATGCCACATCATTACAATTTAACATTTTTTTAAATATTTAACAGAAAAGATTAAGTTGACTATCGAAACTGTTTTTAAAGAACTAAGAACTAAAATGACACCTAAAATTAAATTAAAGGATTTCTTTATAATTAAGCCTATATTATAAAATGAATATCAAAAAACTTTTATTTTGAAAAGAACACGTCTCATGAGAAAATTGTTACGGTCAAAGAACCCCGGCGATCTCAAACTCTTTCCGATTATACCAAGGCAAATCGCCACAGCATATTCTCTTCAACAAGGGCACAACAGTCATTTCACACCAAACCTACCAACATTAACGTCACTTCCTTTCCCAAACGCAACGTTGACACTCTGAAACAATGCATTAGTGCAATGCAACAACTTCGAACTGTGAAAATTGATAACTACCCTACTAGTTAGCGCTGTCTCTCCCATTTTCTCTCTTCGTACCATGATTTCCTGAGAGAGAGAAAAAAATCATCCGAAATTGATTTTGGTTTTCTCGAAAAATATCAACATGTCTGACGCTTTGATCAATGGATTGGCTGGCGCTGGTGGAGGCATCATTGCTCAACTTATCACATACCCTCTTCAAACTGTATGATTTTGGTTTCAAAGTTTGAATCTTTTTTCTTATTTGGGTTTCTTGAGATTTTTGATTTTTTTTATGTGATCTATAGGTTAACACTCGTCAACAAACCGATCGTGATCCGAAGAAGAATAATGGGACTTTCCAGCAAATGTGTCAGGTTTCTTGTTTTTTAGTGAAGATCATGTGATTGTTTAGTTTTTTTAATGGAAATTTGATATTAGGTTTTTTGAAGTGAAGGAAGTTGGTGATTTTGTATTTTATTTTGTTTATATTGAAATTTGTTGTGTGGTGATTGTGGTTATGTGAATGCATTGTTGTAGGTTGTGAAACATGAGGGGTGGGAGCGGTTGTATGGAGGTTTGACGCCGTCACTCGTGGGTACAGCTACATCTCAGGTGAGTTCATTTCTATGTAGCACCGACACAAGTTGTGTCTCTTGTGATTACGTTTAATTTCTATTTTTTAAAATTATTACCGGTGTCGCTGTGAGAGTGTTGTGTCTTGTTCAAGGTGTTTGTGCTTCATAGGTTCATTTACCTTGGGTTTTGGTGATTTGTTAGTTTTTGAGTAACTCGATATTTTAATCATTGAAATCGTAAGGGTTGTTTGGTTTAGACTTTTACATTTGTGAAAAGGCAATTCGCTCCCTTAAGTTGAACAATGTTGGAAAATTTAGTATTTTCTTTTTCAAATTTAGCATCACAATTTTGAAGGCTCTGTGTTTGTCTTGATGTGGCAAGTCAATATATACTAGGAGATGTTTTGGTGGAGGGACTAAATTGATAGATGTTTGAAAGAACTAATTTGTGGTTTTGTAAATTTGAGAGGCTAAGTTGCATGATTCTTACATTTTGAGCGCTGATTTACTCGTTAGTTTTTTTATGACAGACTGCCTCTTCGAAATCTTACAATGTGTCTTTTATGTTTTCTGCATTTGGTTTGATGTATTTTGTCTTGTTGTTGGAGTGAGAAAACTATATTAGTATAGTAGTTTGATCTGATTTGTTTTGAGGATGTTGACACTTTTCTGTTTGTTTGCTAAGAACAAGAACAAACAGGGAAAATTAAACTAGTCAATTTAGTATACACATGTTACATTTTCTCCAGAATAATGTAATTTGAAGTTCTCCACAGCCAATATTATTGTGGTATGCTGCGAATACTACAACAATCAAAACAACAAGAATGAAAACATTTTTGTACTAGGTGGAATTGACTTTATGGATCAAATGATGTCATTATGTTTTATTGTAAATTTATTCTTTTCATTATATCTAAATAACTTTTTATGGATTGACCTATAGTTTTCTTGCCTTCCCATATCTTGAATTATTTAGCTCACTTCATTTGTTCTTCTCTTTATTGAGGCTTTGTAGGTCTCTTCACCTATGGTCCAAACCACCTAAAATGAGATTGTACCAATGCTTCCACCATATTTACTGTGACTTTCTCTCCAATGCATTCGATCATATATATTCACTCAATTCCCTATATTTGCAATTGCAAGTACATTGAGAACCTGCATTTACATTTGAACAAATTGCTATTGTTCCACGATACGCTATCTAGTACCAATTGTTGTTAAATAGCCGCTATTGCGGCACTATAACATTGTAGCATAGTGGAATTTGAACAAACAACTATTTTTGTGATCCCTGATTGACAAACACAGTTGCGGGGAAAGATTTTACCAAAGGTTGTAGGTTTAAGTTGCAGTAACAACATCCAGTTTACCAAAAACATAATAGCTATTTGAACTTAATGTGATGTATGTTCTTGTAAAGCTTAAAGCCTATTCATGCCAAAAGTCCATAGTTCCTTTAACTGCGAAGTTTTTTTTTTTTTTTGAAAACTCTCTAGTTAATAAGACATTTGAAAAGAACAAAAGTCTAGTTCCCTATTGAATTTTCATAGATAATTCTTGATATAGAATTTGTTTTTGATGTTGACATACTGTGATATTACTTTCTGTTTATGTTAAATGAAAATAAGTTGAGGTTTCTAAAGTAAATGGACCCTGCTTGATGAGTTTTGTTTATAAAGTGTCCTCTTTTTAATTTCTGCAATTTTATGGTACAGGGTGTTTACTATTATTTCTATCAAATATTCAGGAACCGAGCTGAAGCTGCTGCATTAGAGAAGAAAATGCTAGGGAATGGTGATGGTTCAGTTGGAATGTTCTCCTCACTTATTGTTGCAGCTTTATCTGGGTAAAATTGACTCTGTTTGTATATAGACAATTACTCAAAACTCACATGATATGACTCAAATTTTCTTGATAAATCTTCGTGCAGTTGTGTTAACGTGCTGCTGACAAATCCAATATGGCTAGTTGTTACCCGCATGCAGGTGATTAGCATTAGTTGATTTTCATCTCTATTAACGTGCTGCTGACAAATCCGACAAGGCTTACATTTGTTTTTTATCTGCTGACAAATCCGACAAGGCTTACATTTGTTTTTTATCGTCCAGACACATAAAAAAGAGTCAAAGAGAACGATCCCAGATCCGCGTCTGTCTGACGCCACTGAGCAAAAACTGCTTTCTACTGTTGAGCCTCATGCTTATGGAACTAGCCATGTGGTAGGTAAAGTCTAAGTCTATCTTGATTGATAGTCTCCATACCATAGCCTTGTTATAAAAGAATTATTACTAGTAGTGGCAGTTTTGTTATAGTGATCAGAATTGGTGATTGGAGAGCATTTCAATGAATTAATCCATAATTCATACAACAGATTTTTGTAAAAGTCTCTTCTCTTGTTCCTGGCTACTGTTCCTTACAACAGTTTACACTTTGCATAAATTTGACTCTGATGGAACAATCTAATTAGCAAACCTACATGGTTTCCTTCTATAAATATATAATATTCTTGTATATATTTGCAGATTCAAGAAGTTTACGATGAATCTGGAGTTTTGGGTTTCTGGAAGGGTGTATTACCAACATTGGTCATGGTACGTTGTTGGTAAATGGCAGTGAGTCCTTCTAAGGCTAAGGGAGTTTTAATGATTGGTTGTTGCTACTTTTCTCAGGTTAGCAATCCTTCCATACAGTTCATGCTGTACGAAACCTTGTTGGCGAAGTTGAAAAAAAGAAGCGCTAGCAATACCGTATCTGCTTTACAGGTATTTTCTCATTTCACTTCTTTAGGTGAAAATACCCACGAATGATTTCACTCATTTTCTATTATGTTTGTTCTTTTTAAATTTTGGTAACATTTGCCAGACTAAAGATTGGTTTGTATAACTAGATATTTCTTCTTGGAGCCATTGCTAAGCTCGGAGCTACGGTTGTAACCTATCCTCTTCTTGTTGTGAAGGTATATCATACATTGCGCCAGTTTTTGCATTGTGTTTGTTCATGTACTCAATTGTCAATAATCAAAATGTTTCATTTGTTGCTATTGCAGGCAAGGCTTCAAGCTAGACAGGTTAAAAATGGAGACAAGAGACACCATTATAAAGGTTCAACTTGTGACAATCTTTTCTTGTTATACTATGAATATGTCATAATCCAATCGATTCGTGTTTTCTTTGTTACTTTTTGTCTGGTTTGCCAAAAGGGGATACTATGAGCCCTCCATTGCCGGTTCATTATAAAACTCACGTGGAGACAAAGATTGAGTGCGTGTTTGGATTGACAGCGAGTTACTGTGATTTTGACAAAAGATACACTTTAGAGCTTTATCAATCAAACTCACCGTGATTGCAAACACGCACCGAAACTACCGTGATATAGGGACAAAATGTTTTTACTCGTTTTTTTTACTTCACTCTAAATTGGCATGTTGTTCAAATTCAGGTACAAGGGACGCTATTTTTAAGATGATCCGCTACGAAGGGTTCAATGGATTTTACAAAGGAATGGGAACCAAAATTGTACAAAGTGTTCTAGCTGCAGCTGTTTTGTTTATGGTGAAGGAAGAACTTGTTAAGCAGACTCGTTTCTTGCTCGGAAAGAATGTTCCTAAAACAATAAAGCCATAGCTTGTGCGATTGGCAAATCACTTATTTTTTTAATTTTCCTCAGATTGGTAATTCACGAACCACCTTCATTTGGCATATTATTCATTCTTATCATAGAAAATAGATTGTGGCATTGGAAAGTTTGTAACTTGATTAATAGAAGATTAAATAAAACATTGCTTTAAACTTTATTATTTATTTAAAACATGCCTTCAATTGAAAATTTGTGTTTAAATAAAGGTTGTACATGCTAAGTCACGTGTATGGAAGCTATAATATTTATTCTCTCACTTTTGTTATAGTATTTTTGGTAGCATCAGATTGTAACATCGAAATATCATCTGATTTGTAAATGTATGTACGAGAGACAGATAAATATATATACATATGACATGATATTGTATTTTTTAGGTTTAGATAACTCTAGCTGGTAGTTGCATATTGTTCAATTTCACATGATTTTGGGTGAGAAAGAAGGGACTATGTAACTTGTTAGAATTTAGTAAGCATGCAGATGTTCTAGATTAGTAGTATCGCTAGAACATCTTTTTATTGTAACACTTATAAATATAAATAGTGTTATTTGAGTACAGATAAACTTTATTGAATTTTCCTAGTGTTGTTTTGCAATTTTTCTTTTTGAATGTATGTTTATCCACTCCGTTATACACTTTCTAGTCATTCTATAATCAGGTGGCCCTTTATTTAGGGCGACTCCGTCCATCTTTGTTAGACGAGAATTGTTTAAACAGTTCCCCAATTGTCCTCACTATGAATACGTTTGTCTTTAATTTGAAATTGAAATATTGTAATTAATCTTTGTAATATCAGTTTATAAGAGAAGTAGTAGAACTTTGAAACCCCAAACACTATATTTGATGTTGATCATAGCTTCGTCTCTTTCTTTGGTTTTAGTTAGATCAAGTCACACAAGACCTCCAATTTGATCCTCCGATTACCGTTTCTCATTTGACCGAACCTCAATTCTTCAAAGCTTTCACTTGGCTGAATCCAAATTGCAAAATCTTGCCCCAAGTCTTTCAATTGATCTTTCGGTTACCGTTATTCCTTTGCAAGAACCCATATTTTTCAAAGCTTTCACTCGGTTGAATCCAAGTTGCATATACTTGTGCAAAACCCCCCAAATTAACCCTTGATTTTGGAGGAAAAACCCTAAAGGTTTTATCAATGAAACCCCCAAAGAAAAACTCAACCCAATTTGATTACAACAACCTAAATTGGACCTTATCAGTTTTATCTTGATGACAAACAACAAAAATGATTATGTGTAATTATTGAATGCATGCAAAGAAAGGTTGAAGGTGATGAGAAATTTTTAAGTGTGTTCTTAGTTTCAATGTTTTGAAATGATGCATGAATGCATATTTATACGTACATGTATGTGTAGAAAGAAAACAAGTAAAGCAGATTTTTAGCAAAAAATGCAAGTTTTGAAAGTTGGAACATAATGTATTGACCCCAATCATGAATGAGTCAATACATAAGCCAAAAAAGTCAATACATTTTTCAAAGAAGGCGATACATTAATGGCAGAGAGTAATTATTTGAAGAAATCTTCAGAAGGAGTCAACTCCAAACACAGAGGAGTCGACTCATTAGTTGAATGTATCGACCCATCCCTTCAATGTATCGATACGTTGAAGGCATGCAAGTTTGTTTGAAAATATCTCACAGATAGAGTCGACTCCAACCATGAATGAGTCGAATCACTCACAAGATGTATCGATACATTATGGGCAGAATCATTTCCTTTCAAACCAACTCAGTATGTATCGATACATACCAAGAATGTATCAATCCATTGACTACTTTTTCATTAAAAAAAAATATATTTTTAGCATGTGATGGCCTATTGAACCTAATTTTACATGTCTTACAATGATGATGCATGTATAGACAAAGAAGGTAAGGTCCAGTATACACAAAGTACTAAGTCATCTAATTTTGACATCATTCAACATATATCTAAGAGTATTTTGCACTCACATAATCCCTTTTTTTAATGATGGAAAAACATACAAAGCACTTGGTGTCTTTGGTAAAGTTAGTAGTTTAACTCCCTCATTAGACTCATCTCAAACTTTCCCTGCATAAGCTTAGAAAACTCTTTGACTAGTTACGTGTTAGTAGACCCAAATATTATATCGTCAACATAAATTTGAACAAGAAGAAGATGTTTTCCTTGATGTTTAATGAAAAGTGTTATGTCTAGAAAAACTTTACTAAGTCACTCATTACGAGCCCTAGAGGCATGTTTGAGACCATACAAAGCTCGTTTTAATTTATAAACATGATTAGGATATCATGGTTTTCAAAGTCGGGTGGTTGGAAAACATACACTTCCTCATTTATGTAACCGTTAAGGAAAGCACTTTTCACGTTCATTTGAAATAATTTGAGTTTTTGGAGCATGAAAAAGCTAGTAAAAGGCGGATAGCCTCGAGGCGAGCAATCGAAGAATGAGTTTCCTCATAATTTATGCCCTCCTCTTGGTTATAACCTTGAGGCACTAACTGGGCTTTGTTTTGAGTTCTCACTCTGCTTTCATCTATTTTATTTCTAAAAACCCACTTAGTGCCAATGATATCACGATCTCGCGGAGGTGGAGCAAGGTCCCACACATCATTTCTTTTAAACTAATTTAACTCATCTTATATGACCATTAACCAATGCTCATCAATCAAGGCATCTTTTGCGTTTTTAGGTTTAACTTGTGAAACAAATGATATCCCCAAGAGTGTGTGTTGATTGGATTGTCCTTGGAAGACCTATAAGCCAAAGGAATATCATCCACTTCAGTTGGACTTTCATCCTTTTGCTTTTCAAGATTGTCATCTTCCTCCTGCTTAGGTTTCACCGCTTTAGGTTGATCAATTCTTTTTTTAGTGTCATTGAGTATGTCATCTGAAGATACACATGTATCATGAAAAGAAATACCTTTTCTGACATTTCTCGAATAAGATTCACCAAGCGTGACATGAACCGACTCCTTAACAATAAGTAATCTCTTATTGTATACTCTATAAGCTTTGATTGTTTAAGAGTGTCCAAGAAAGATACCTTCATTAGCTTTTGCATCAAACATCCCAAGATTATTTTTTCTATTATATAAGACAAAACATTTGCATCAGAAGACATGAAGATGTGATAAATTTGGCTTTCTACCTTTTAAAATTTCATATGGTGTTTTGTTTAAAATAGGACAAATAAGTAACCTATTTAAAACGAAACATGTAACGCCCATTTTAATTATTTTTAGTTCCAGTGTTATTTTATTCGTCGACGTGTTTTGGTGTGGGAATTGAAGAAGAAATAGAGGCATAATATTAATATTTGATCATCGATAATGATAATAATTAATAATTAATATTAATGTTGATATTATTATTATTATTATTGTTATTATTATTAATATTGGTATTATGAAGTGATAATATTAATTTTTGGAAATTAAGAAAATGAGAATTATTTATTTATTTGGAATATAAGTGATTTTTGGGGTATTAAGGGTAGATTTGGCATTTGTGAAAATAGAAAGTGAAGGAAGAAGAGAAGAACACTCACGAAGAAGAGAAACGGAAGAGGAACACGATCAAAGAGGGCGATCAAGAGCAGAAGCTTGAGCAAGAAAGATTTTCGTGTGGATTGTGAAGCTTCATCATCATCAAACTGCATTTCGAGGTAAGGGGGGATTGATCGGTCGAATTGGTTTATGCATGAAATTGGTAGAAAAGGGGAAAATCCCTAATCCCCATAGATTGATGTTATTATGATGTTGATTTAGTGTTTATAATTCTGTGATGGTTGTGTTTGTGGTGTTCGATTTCGTTGCATGTGGCTGTGGGAATTGGTTTGAGAGCATTTGGGGTTTCCGGATAAATTCGGAGTTACACCGGAAGTTGGTAATTGCATAGATGTAAGCATTACCGAGCGGAAACGAGTTAGATATTATAGTCGGGTAGTGGAATGGCTTTCTGGTATGTTGGGGTGGGCTTGGGAATAAAATCGGCTGAGCTCGGAATGCGTTGCCGACTCTGAGCTCAGAGCTGTTTTCTGCAGAATTCGCGTGCATTCGCTGGGCGAATGGGTGCGAGCCTTCGCTAGGCGAACTGGGCAGCAAATGCTACCTTTTGCTTCTGTTTGGCTTCGCTAGGGGTTTCGTCGGGCGAGTCCCAGCGAGTGTTTGCTGCGGGGCTTCGCCAGGCAAATGGCAGCGAACATGACAGCATTTTGTGATTTTTCTGCTGTGCTGTTCCGTTTCTCGCGTGGTCGGACCCTTGTCGGTTGTGAGCGATTACGTGGTTATCGTGGATCGGTTGAGAGTATGAAGGTGATGTAGAGAGCATGCGCACGAATATTCGTCGATATGGACGATTGAACTGAAGTACGCTGTGAATGCCTTAAAAGGCTGTGTATTCTTCGATTAAGAATGAATATGTTGTAAGAGCACAGATTGTGTCTTAGTTATATCTCTATGTTTTGATGATAACACTTATAAATTTTGTATTCAAGAATTATATACTCTAAACGTGTTCTAGATTGTTTGCTACAGGCACTAAAGAAAATTATCTTAAGAAAGCAAAATTAAGATCTGAACAATGTTATTATGAAAGGCTTCATAAGTTCAAGAGCATCTTAAGTGAAGATCTGAACACTGCTCCAGAAGAATCTGACTACTGTCTCTTGAAGATTCTGAAGCAGGAGCCTCTAAAGCATAAAAGACTCTGCTCTGAAAGATTTACACGCTCAAGCACACAAGCTGCACATACTCTGATTCAACTCAATCTGAAGAACATTCAAGACTCTGAAGATCCAGATGATCCTTGGTCTGGAGACTCTGAAGATTCAGATTCTAATGTTGAAAGCTGAACTTACTTTGAAGAAGATTTAAATATGTACGTTGGTTCTTCTCAACAGCTCTTTCCTATTTTGTGCTAGACACAAGGACACAGACAAAAAGGTTTTATCTGTGCATTCCATTCTGAGGAAAGTTTTCTGCA